AGAGGTACTTCTGAGTCATGTTTCCTAACAGGCTTGTTTCTAATTATTTCATTGACCATATCTTTACATCGCTCTTTCTTAAATCAGACAGTAGATGTTCTGAAGGTTGATACTCCTCTTTTGTGGGGTAATGATATAATTTCTTCTTGTATTAACCATCCCTTCATCCTTTAAATTTGCCTTGGTTAATTCGCTAGTTGTCTTTTCTGTCTTTATCTTTCTCAAAGCTAATAAATATTCTGTTAAAGCCTTCTTCTATTTTTAAATGAATTAGTATATTAGAGGAGTATTAAAACTACTATTAAATTAAGTATTAAATTAAGTATTAAAGCTACTGTTTGTTTTATAAAAAGCATCTCAGCATTCCAGCTAAGTGAAGGAGGAGTGATAGAATTATAAAATTATCATTTTGATGATTAATGGCTCTAAGCCGTGATCATCAGTGGCTGCTGATATTGTAAGAGGAGAAACAACCAGACATTTGTGCCTCTGGTAGAACTACACAGCATTATCAATGAAGCGTTCTTGCCAGAACATCAAATCTGAATCTAACCAAGCCTCTAGATCTAACTACCAATGTAGAGGAAATACAGAGAGGATGAAGGAGTATGGTAAATGACATTATGGAGTTAGAGATAAGAGTTAACACAATTCCAAAGGTGGAAAACTCTGTAGGACCAACAGTGAGGAATCTGTAAAAGAGACTTAAGAATGCTATTACTAGTTCTAATCTGTGGACCCTATTTGGATTTGAACAAACTAGAAAAACATTTATGATGAGTTTGGGGAAATTTGAACACTAAGTGAATAGTGATGACTTTTTAAAATTATATGTGAAATTATACCTGGAAATTACTTTAAAATAATAATGCAGGAACAGGATGGGAGAGTGAGTGAAGGTATGGTTGAAACAAGATTAGTCTTTTTTAAAAAAAATTCAGTGTATATATTTTTAAATTTTGTTTGGCATTGCCTTTAGATAGAGAATAGAGAAGATGGCAGCTTTTTTCTCATGTTAATTAGAAACTTCTTTCTAATTGCTTTCAAAAAGTGACCCAAGGCTTCGAAACCAAAGCATTCATTCACTCACTCTCTAGTCAACATCCATGGAATGTCTACAACTAAGCCCGTGTGCCCTGTGCTGACCTAGCTACTGAAAATAAAATTGTGGGTTCAAATAGCAATGCTTAAAATAATTTAAACTGCCTAAAAATATTGCACCTGTGAATCCATTTTAGTATTTTTAGGGAATTTACTACTGGGCTTTGTAATTTCAAACTTTAGAAAGGCCTTAGAGCAGGATTTATAAAACTTGAAAACTGTGAGTGTAAATAAATAATTCCAGGCCAGGCATGGTGGTTTAAACCTGTAATCCCAGCACTTTGGGAGGCTGAGGCGGGTAGATCACCTGAGGTCAGGGGTTTGAGACCAGCCTGGCCAACATAGTGAAACCCCGTCTATACTAAAAATACAAAAATTAGCCCGGTGTGGTGGCATGCACCTGTAGTCCCAGCTAGTTGGGAGACTGAGGCGGGAGAATCACTTGAACCCAGGAGGCAGAGGTTCAGTGAGCTGAGACCACGCCATTGCACTCCAGCCTGGGTTGACAGAGTGAGACTCTGTCTCAAAAAATAATAATAATTCCAAACATTCTACATTCTTAGATAAAATATGTAACTTATTTCCCAAACAGTATAGGGGAAATATTGACAGCATTTAAAATGCATCTTAATGTATTTTAAAACTTTTTAAATATATTTTTAAAACATTAAAATGTAGCAAGTGTATACCATAGAGGCAGTGAATTAAGAGAGGAATAGAATTGAGCAGTAACAAGATGAAAATGGAAAGACAAACTCTTCCTCAGTGTAAGTAACCAGTGCTGTAAATTTGCTGTGCCTGGTACAAATGTTAACTGTATAAACAGAGGTTGAGGATTTTCTGCAAATAATAAAAGAAGTATCAATGCAGATTATTCTGGGAGAAGAATGGCAAAGAAAATCCACAAAAGTGTTTTAGCAGAACTTGGGTAACAGAGGACTGAAAGAGAGAATTTCCCAGACCCACAAAGCAAATAAATAATTTTCCCCAGTCTCTTAGTAAGGAGGGTTGAAATTAAATTCAAAATGTTAATGTTTGTTGTTTATTGTTTTTTGAACACAATTATTTTTAAGTTACTTATGGCCTATTAAGCTGTATAGCATTTTCACTTCACAACACAGTACAATTATTTTTCATTATATTCATAAACACCTTTCTTAAAGAACTCGAGTTCATTCATTGCATGAATATTATGTACCCATTAAAAAGAACAAACTGGATCTATGAAAAGTAGTCTCAAAGAGTTAACTGGAAGTGCTTGCAGGTAAAAAAACAAGATACTGGAGAGTAGAATATGATAACAGTTTTGTAAATGAATAGGCTCAAAACTCATTTACAAATGTGTATATATGCACACATTTTAAAAAATCTATATAAAATTATATAAGCATGAAGAAAATAGAGAAGGGTTCATAGTAGGTAGTTAACAGGTTCCTAAGAGAAGCGGAGGTGCAGAATGGTAGTGTTTTGAAGATAAGAAAAAAGATAAGAGAAAACCAAAGTTAAAAGAAAAAAAAAGAAAACTTCTTTTAAAAAAAAAAAGCATTGATTTGGTGACATTGTTTATGTATGTATGCATTGTTATCTATTTGTCTGTGTGTAATAAGGATTTTTTAATATTAAATAAATAAGATTCTGGTTCAAAGAGTGATGAAAATATTAAGTGGCACTCCACACGATTTTCTTGGTTCTTGAAGTTTGAGCTTCACTACAAAAAGAATCTCCATTCGGTTGCTTTTATCTACCCTACAGTGTTGGTTAATGCCAAATCCAAATTTGTAAATTTAATTTGGAATTATTTCTGAAAATAAATTTTGTGGACAATATGATGATAAGTCACAGGAAAAAAATATATGCAGGTAAAATATTTAAAAATAAATTCCCTTAATATATTCTAATTGTGATGGTTTCTGCAGCATAATTTAAAATTATGCTATTTTCAGTGTCCAAATAAGAATGTTATCAGTATTACTATTGAGCATCTGGCTGCACATAGTAACTTTTAAAATAATTTTGTTTTAGAATGTACTAATAAAAGACACCTATAGTACACTTTTTCTGCAGTTTAGTTTCTGGTTATAGTTAAGTAAAGCAAAGATTCACTATTTTATATATAGTGCAAGAAAAACGCCTTTTTAAAATAATGGATTATTGAAAAATAAGAGTACAGTTAGGTTTTTTTCCTAGATATTTTTAGATATTTTGCTGTAATGGAATAAAGGGGATGAAATATTTGTAATTGGCATATTATTTTAGATAAATAAACTTTTAGTTTAACTCCTGGAACTCCTGTGATATCTTGAATGAGTAACAAACTTTTTTTTTTTTCCCCCATCCTAGAAAGATATATTTTGGCTAAAGCCCAGCAATTCTGAAGTTTTAATGTCCAAATTAGTTGAGTTCAATTGTTTTTGCAAATTTCGGCTACTATGAGAGTAAAAATTGCCTTTCTTTAAACCTGATATGGTCTAGAAAAAAATAGATGTTTACACCAACAACAAATCATAAATTTCAAATTTAGGCAAGCATATTGCTGAGTACCCCCCTAAAAAAGGAAATAAGAATACTTGATTGTCAGTGGTACTTCGCAGTTTTTATCAGCCTTCATCCAGTTTTGTTTTGTGTTGTTTTTTAATTTTAGATTCAGGGGTACATGTGCAGGTTTGTTACATGGGTATATTGTGTAATGCTGAGGTTTAGGCTTATGATCCCTTTGCCCAAGTAATGAACAAAGTACCGGATAACTTTTTCAACCCCTACTCCCCTATCTCCCTCTCCACTTTTGGAACCCCCAGTGTCTATTGTTATCATCTTTGTGTTTGTGCATACCCAGTGTTTAGCTCCCACTTACAAGTGAGAACATATGGTATTTGGTTTTCTGTTTCTGCATTAATTCGCATAGGGTAGTGGCCTCCAGCTGCATCCATGTTGGTGCAAAGGACATAATTTTTTCTTTCTATGATGGCGAACAAGATTAGGCTTCAGTTGATAATTGTTTAAACTAGATAATGGGTACAGGAGAGTTCAATATTCTCTTTTGTTTGTGTTTTTAAATTCCCATGATAAAAAGCTTTTTTTTAAAAAAAAAAAAAAAACTCTTAGATTTCTGGTTTTGGTCCTGCAAATTTCTCTTAAGTTCAAATTTTTGGATAAAGAATTTACTTTAAAACAAGATTTCTTATGTGTTCTGATATGTCTTATCTACTTTTTTTGGTTTTGTTTGTGAGACGAAGTCTCGCTCTGTCATCCATACAAGCCTAGACTGGAGTACAGTGGCAGGATCTCAGCTCACTGCAACTCCGCCTCCTGGGTTCAAGCGATTCTCCTGCCTCAGCCTCCCAAGCAGCTGGATTACGGGCACCATGCCTGACTGATTTTTGTATTTTCAGTAAAGACAGAGTTTCACTGTGTTGGCCAGGCTGGTCTCGAACTCCTGACCTCAAGTGATCTGCCTGCCTCAGCCTCCCAGTGCTGGGATTTCAGTCATGAGCCACTGCACCTGGACTGTCTTACCTATTTTCAACTAAATGCTTCTTTCTTAAATTTAGTTGGTAAACATTTATTTTTGATAATACATTGGATTTTAAATGTTTTACCTTTCATCATCATTTTTTCTAAACCTGCAAGCTAATCAAACTTTTATTCAACTCCTTTGGGATCTTAATTTCTGTAATATCTATGCGTTTTGTTTCCTGGATAAAAATGTATTTGTAGCTTTCTAATCCAATATATAACCAGTATTAGGCTTCTGAAGATTAGTATCCTGCTACTTACGAAGTTTCCTAACCGTAAATACTAAGTTGACTTTTTTGGTTGTTTTTTTATAGCTTAACTCTTAACTTGCCTCATTGGCTTGAATGCGTTTCCATCACATGGAATCACTTATATTTTTACTTTAGGTACTTGCTACAACCAAGAGACAATGGAAACAAGTCATCCAAAACTGATGACCTGGGGTCTCTTCGATTAAATATATGTTATACAGAAGACTACGTGCTTCCTTCAGAGTACTATGGTCCTTTGAAAACTTTGCTGCTAAAATCACCAGATGTTCAAGTATGTTAAGAATCTTAAGGATATGATTTAACACGAAGTGGCTAAAATAATTGTATAAATGATAAGAAGATTTCAAGAGTATCAAGTCTTATTAAAACAGTAAAAATTATATACATACATATATACACACACACACATTTCTATTTATCTGAACCAGAGTACTATGATTCCTACGTGTGTTCCCACAATCATCTCTGATAAAAAATTTTGAAAATTAAATATCCTGTATAACAGCTTTAATGACATTATTACAGTTACTTTTACAGGCTAATGATTGAACAGTTAATCATGTTTCCCTGATTTTTGTGCTTGTTTTCTACCTTCCTATATGTAGCCAATATCTGCCTCAGCTGCTTACATTTTGAGTGAAATATGTCGAGATAAAAATGATGCTGTTTTGCCCCTTGTACGACTGCTGCTGCACCATGATAAACTTGTTCCTTTTGCCACTGCTGTGGCTGAATTAGACTTGAAGGATACACAGTAAGAGTTATATTTTATTAAATGTTAATTACATGTTGTTGAAATTGGACCTTAGTTTGACAGATTGTTTTCGTAGTCTGAATTTTTTTGTATTGATCAGACTTACTATATAGTAGGCTGAAAAGAAGTACTTAACAAATAACAAAAGGCAGTTAAGCTATCAAACAGTATTCACCTACCTTAAGGACAATTAATGAAGGATGTTTTTTCTTAACTCAGTGAGGAAATTTCGTTTGTTACTAATCTGCTTCTTAGTGTAATGATTCACGTGTCACAAGTAAAAACACCAGAGCAGAAGTGTTTTTTTCTTTATTCATTATGTATCACCCTTATATGCATATGTATGACATTCTAAAAAGCAATCAAGTGACTTCTCATTCACGTCATAGTCTAACACTGTTGTTTTTTTACACACACAGACATACATATACTCTACATTTTTGGTTCATAAATGTGATTTGCCTTTATACACGTATGTGTGTATGTATATACGTATATATGTATGTACGTGTGTATATATATGTGTATTGAGTTTTTTGTTTGTTTGTTTTTAAGACGGAGTCTCGCTTTTTCACCCAGGTTGGAGTGCAGTGGCATGATCTTGGCTCACTGAAGCTTCTGCCTCCTAGGTTCAAGTGATTCTCCTGCCTCAGCCTCCTGAGTAGCTGGGATTACAGGCACTCGCCACCACACCCAGCTAATTTTTGTATTTTTAGTAGAGATGAGGTTTCACCATGTTGGCCAGGCTAGTCTCACATTGCTGACTTCAAGTGATCCACCTGCTTCAACCCCGCAAAGTGTTGGGATTACAGGCGTGAGCCATCACACCTGGCCATTATTTTTATATATTTTTGGTAAATTTGAAAAACCTAATGGCAGCAAACTTTTAAATAAATGGTAAAAATTACTAAAATTGTAGGTCACTTATGCCTTCTAGTACGCCTTAATCTATTTCAACTCAATGCTGCTTTCGTAAATTGGTCAAGTATGTTATATTTTTGGTTTCACAATCTTTGTTTACTACATTTGGTTTCATCTATTTCTGTTTCAGAGATGCAAACACAATTTTTAGAGGAAATTCCTTGGCTACCCGATGTCTGGATGAGATGATGAAAATAGTGGGAGGGCACTACCTGAAAGTAACATTAAAACCTATTCTTGATGAGGTACAGAATATATCTCCAACAGTGATAGTTTGTGACCTCATGATAGTTGCTCTTTTATCAAGTGATCTATTGATGGGAAGGGTTCATTCATTTATGTGTTCCTCAAAAAATAAGACTGAACACTTTAGAAGCAAATTATTTACTTCTCTATCAATGGATTTTTACTCAAAAGGCACAGTATAGTATGGTCTACATTATTTCTTTGTTACGGGATTTCTATCTTAGCCGGAGTTCCAAATATATGACAAATACTTTTTGATATTGTGTTTTAAGAAAATTGCATATATTATCCCTGCATAGGGCGTTTTACGCTTAAAATTTAAATTTCTATAATTACCTTTTATCATCAGAACAATAACAGTTTTTTCATTTTGTCAGATTACTTAGAAAAAATCATTAACTGCAAAATTTATTTTTCAGATATGTGACTCCTCAAAATCCTGTGAAATAGATCCTATTAAATTGAAAGAGGGAGATAATGTAGAAAATAATAAGGTAAGTCCTTGTTATATTGTTTATAATTGTGTTAAAATTGTTCTTAATGGTGTAACCTTTCTCCCACTTACATCGTAATAAAGCCAGATAGAGGGAAGCAATGCTGTTTATTCTTTACATAAGCCTTTACTATTAGCAGCATTTCCTAGGATTAGTTTTTAGAATGTTATTTCCTCAGTGGTTTCACTTTATTTTTGTTCTTGATTGTCTCTTTTTGTCTCTAGGAACAATAGTGAATTTAAGCTATAGCTAGTTACAAGCCCTGTTCTAGCCATTCCTTTGGGCTCAAACTGATCAGGCTAAGTGACACAGTGACTTGATCAGTCATTACTTTCAGTGGCCTCTGAAAAAGCAGTGATTGTGTTAGGGTCACACATTTTTACTGCAATGGATAATAGTGTCACAACGTCCTGTGCTTGTGTATCTGAGTTATTTTGTGATTTCCTTTTGGATCATTTTATTCCCTGTTGCTTCTTGTGAGGTTTATTCATAGATTCACCTCTTAACGCCTAGCAAATCTAAATTTAACTTATTAAATTAAGTCAGTATATAAATTGTCCTTAAACCAAATGAGTTTGGAAAAGGGAAACAGTGCTTTAAAAAATGTTAGATAGTGACTGTCTAATAAACCTCATTTTCTTACATTTTTCTTTCATGAAGGCTATTGAAGATGTGTGAACATCAAAATCTTAATGTTTCCCTTTTTAAATCCCGCAGGAGAATCTGCGCTACTACGTAGACAAGTTATTCAGTACAATTGTAAAATCAAGTATGAGCTGTCCCACTGTAATGTGTGATATCTTTTATTCTCTAAGGCAGATGGCTACTCAGAGATTTCCTAGTAAGTGCCTTGTTTTACTAAAACATGCCATTTCTTTTTCTTTACTTTTTTGTAGATATTAATTACATGTTTGGTTTGTGCAAAGGTATTTATTTATTTGTTTATTTTTGAGACAGAGTCTCGCTCTGTCACCCCAGCTGGAGTGCAGTGGTGCTATCTCGGCTCACTGCAACCTCCATCTCCCAGGTTCATGCCATTCTCCTGCCTCAGCCTCCCGAGTAGCTGGGACTACAGGCACCCGCAACCACGCCTGGCTAATTTTTTGTATTTTTTGTAGAGATGGGGTGTCACCGAGTTAGCCAGGATGGTCTTGATCCCCTGACCTCGTGATCTGCCCGCCTTGGCCTCCCAAAGTTCTGGGATTACAGGCGTGAGCCACTGCTCCTGGCCTAAGGTTTTTAAGTACAACCTTCTTTAGTTTTTCAAAATGATTCTAGCTTTCTCATAAGAAATCTGATTTTTCTTGAAATCTCAAAATACATATTCCATTTTATTTCAGTATAATGCAACTTTATACAAAGAGCAAATCAAAATCACCGTTAAAGAAAGGCAAAAATTTAGAACTGTAACATTGTATAAGTAAGCATTTATACCAGATGCTTATGAGGGTTAAAAATACCTTTGTTATTTATACCAACTATCTTTTCCAGCTGCATGCATTCAGATGGTGAGAATCTTTAGTTCCATAAAATTGACTAGATTTGACAGTATGAGAATGCTAATAAGGTTTTGGTGGTGAGAGGTTTTTATAGAAATGGCCTTAGACGTTAGAAACCTTTCTGTTGCAACATACATAGAGTTTTAAGGTACATGTATCAGTTACTGGCATATTTTAATTTTGAAAAAGTAGCTATGTCAAGGTTTTGCTTAGAAACTTTTCATTAAATTCAGAGTTACTGTCGCTGTTAATACTTAGAATTATTCACATTTTAATATATCTCTGATAAGTAAATAAACTAGCTATGGCTAGCTTTCCAGATCTGTCTATAATGGGAGGTGGTGGATAGGAGGGTAGAATTAGGCAGGTACTTAAATTATCCGTCTTAACCAGCTGTGCAAAACTGTGAGTTTATTTCTGTAACCATCTGAAGAGATTTTGCAGTTTTATGTTCTTTTAAGTGTGTGCTCACCCTGTGCACACATGTGTGCAGTTAACCGCCCTTCTGCTAAATTGACCCATTACTAAATTAGTGGGGCTGAGTTGTCTAACGTAGATAAATTCATATCTAAATGTCTTTGCTAATTATAGTTGCAAATAAGTAAGTAAATCTAATCTTCATAACAAAAATAAGGGGAGCCAGAGGCACACGGAAAAGTGAAATGCTCATTGAAATTTTATTTTTAAATAGTTAGATCATGATAACCACATTGACTACTTAGTAACACACACAGTGTTAGTGTATTAGCCTCCATTATCTCCTGTTGTCATCTTCACAAAACCACATGAGGTAGGTACTACTCCCATTAGGTGAGAAACAAAGGTTTAGAGAAGCTGAGTAACTTTACCAAGGTCTATGGCATGGCCAACAGGCAAGCAGGGCCTCAAACCTGGGCCTGGTCTACTCCAAACCACATGCTGCCATTCACTATACTCTATTTGGCCTTAAATCTGTTTTAGCTGTTTAATTCTTCTTTATATAAATGATCTTAAACACTTTTTGGATTTTTTTTTGTTTGTTTTTGTTTTGAGACCGAGTTTCACTCTTGTTGCCCAGGCTGGAGTGCAATGGCATAATCTCGGCTCACTGCAGCTCTGCCTCCTGGGTTCCCAGCCTCCCCAGTAGGTGGGATTACAGACATAGGCCTCCCCGCCTGACTGATTTTGTATTTTTAGTAGAAACGGGCTTTCTCCATGTTGGTCAGGCTGGTCTCGAACTCCTGACCTCAGGTGATCCACCCGCTTCAGTCTCCCAAAGTGCTGGAATTACAGGTGTGGGTCACCGTGTCCAGCCAACACTTTATGTTTTTATATACATGCAGATGTATCTCCTTAGTTATGTTTTTGTTGACTTAATATGGTCATCATATCCTCAGTAGACTATAGTAGTGACAGTTTTGTTGCCATAAGTGTTTCATATTCTGTCATTTTTGTTGTTTTTACTACCCTAGAAGAATGGGGAAAGGAGAGGTAGGAGGGCAGGGCAGACAGCAGGTAAAAAGCAGATATTATTAAACAATGACAAATTAAATGACTTGTTAATGGTTACCTACTGAATGACTTAGAAGAGTTAAAACTCGAACGAAACCTAAAGATTCTTTCCCTCGCCACCTGCTTCTTTTCCCAAACCACCATCCGTCTGATTGTTGGGTAAAGTGTTGACTCCAGTCTGAAACGAAAGTTGTAGGTGAATAATCAAAGCCACCAGTAGTCTTCAGTTCATCTGCATTTTTATTTATGGACTATTGATAGCTTTTTTAAAGTAAACATTTCTGTCTAATTGTTTTTGTTGCATAACTTTTAATATTATCACGATTCTGGGGAGGAAATTGAAACAAGAACCTAAAACTGAAAGTAGCCTTGTATCGTACTCTTAAGGGATTCAGTGTTACCACTAGGTAGTGCTAGATACTACTTTTATTTTTGTCGTAATTTTAGCAGTCTCTTCTTGCAGGTGAGGAAAGAGGTATTTTTCAAATTAAAATATTTCTATAAACCTAACAGCTTTGTCTTTTTTCATATTATTTCTTCTTTTGGATTTTTTAATCATAGGGTGTTTTAATTTTGTCATAAACATCACTATCATTTCATCAACTCGGCTCTTACTAGACAAATTATGTTGCTCTCCTAGTTTACGTGTTTTTTCTATATTTTTTAATTTATCATCTTTGTTTTTTAATTAAGTGTTTTTGTGCATGACATTTCACCATTTTTTTCCTGCAGATGACCCTCATGTTCAGTATTCTGCAGTGAGCAGCTTTGTATTTCTTCGTTTCTTTGCTGTAGCCGTAGTATCACCTCATACTTTTCATTTGCGACCTCATCATCCAGTAAGTGTTTGTTCTTCTGAAAGCTTTATTCCATTTTTTAATTTTTATTAAAATGAAGAAAAGATAAAATAAGTCAATTTCACTGGGCTGTATTTTCTTATAACTGATACTTAAATTTACTCAGCATTTTTCTTGGCCATTTCAGTCTTTCAAGTGAGACTGATAATCCTATTTTTTGTTGTTGTTAAAAGATGTTCTGCAAGAGTGATAAAATGCTAATTATTGAAGGTTAGTGATGAGTACAAAGGGGATTTATTATATTTTTTCATATGCTACTGTGTGTGTTTATAAATTTCCATAAGATTTTTTTTCATTAGTTATGGGTTTCATTTTGATAGGTATTTTATTTAAACAAAATCTGCCTTCTTGATTTATTAAAATAGTTTAATTTTGCAGATATTTTTAAATTTCACGGAAATTTGAAGAGGCTCCTTTCTCTAAGAAGGCTATAAGAGAAATTCCATTTAATTTAGAAACAGCATCTAAGATAGAAGATTTCAGTAGCAATGAAACTGACAGCATATAATTAGAAAATATTAAATGGCAGGTGAACTGGATAAGCATGAACAGTTAAAACAGAAAAAGAAACTAAGAATGCAGTGTAGTGAAAGGTGTAGGAACTTTTATTGGAATATAACTTGTTAAATATATCAGTATTTTTACTTTTTATTTACCTGAGGTAATACTGTAAACATGTGAGATTTAAAAATTTTTTAAGCATATAATCTTGTGTTCTGGAGTCCTATTTAATTATCAAAAATCTAAATCTCCACTGCATAGATTTACATGTTTATTTCTTAATTTTTAAAATTCTCTATTTTTGCTATACTTCTGATTCCTTCTTATATGGTATAATTTGGCTAATTCTTTAAGCTTTTATGTTCCAAATACTTTATAATCTTATCTAATTGCTCTTAGTTGCTGATTTGTATAACAAATAATAATAATAGCCCACATTTATTTAGTGCTTTGTACTAGGCCTTGTTCTAACTACTTTATGTTTTAGCTTATTTGGTCCTCCTAGCAACCCTGTGAGGTAAATTCTGTTATCATCCACATGTGCAGATAAGGAAATCACAATAGAGTAACTTTTCCACGCTCACACAGCTGACAAATTATGATTTGATTTTACTCAGTTTGAACTGGATTTAACTGGGATTCAAATTCAGTCAGTCTTTATCGTCTGTAAGCTTAATCCTATCCCTTCCAACCTCTTAGACAGATGTTCAGGTACCTACAGTGTATCATTTCATGCTCAGTACTAGAGATGCAGTGATGAATAAGATACTCTTTGCCCTTAGGAAATTCACAGCCAAGAGGAGTTGCTCAATAGTGTAGGGAAAACAATGAGTTTTAGAGTTAAACCAAGTTCTGAATACCCATTTCTCCTCTCAACAACTACATGACATTAACACTCACTTAACTTTGTGAGTACTGAATAGAACCATGTTGCAGTGGCAGCACCACGCCATTTCTTGCCAAAGGATAAATGGTCTGTGAGTAGCCCCAGCAGAGAGTGGGCCAGTGTCCTTTTGTTCACAGGGCTGTCCATTCTGTGGCTTTGTTACTAAAGCTGCACAGAACTCTGAGGCAATGAAAGCGTGGTAGCAACATTCTGGACATAAACAGAACACCTACTTCTGAACTTGTGAGTCTGCCTTGTATTCATACTTGAATTTGCGCATTCCAGTAACAGATGTTGATGGATACTTAGGTTGGTTCCATGACTTTGCTATTGTAAATAGTGCTGCAAGAAAACGTGAGTGCAGGTGCCAGGACATCTTTAAGATTATTATTTTCTTCAAAGGCAGAGAATTGTGGGGACCTTTTATAGATATAATGAAATCCCAAATGTTACAGCTAAAATGTTTTCTGAATAGCCTTAATTTAGGTGTGTTTCTATTTTATAAGTATATTATAATGATCATATTTCAGATATTCCTTCTTTTCCAGATTGCCTTATATTCTGATCATCTCTTCCCTTCACATTCATTGCCTATTTTCAATGTGGGGGCAGGGGGGTACTAAAATATTAAGGAATGTGAGCCAAAAATTGAACTAAAGCTTTTCTGTATCTAAATTTTTCTTGGTATGTCTTCAGATGCAAGATATTGTTTGCTTGAATCCTTAAAACAAATAAAAATAGTCTGTGTTTTGATAGAAACTTACACAAATATATGGATTGGTGAAAATTCAGCAGGGTATACATTTAAGATCTATTCATTTTGTCATATGTAAATTATATCTCAATTAAAAAAAAAAAATGAAGGAGCAAAGATTTCTGAGGGAACACCGTTTAGTCAATTTTATATATTACTATATATTACTTCTTTCAGATAGACAGGCCTGAAAAACCTCTTGGATAATAGACCCAAATAATCACCCTCTGGTAAGATCAAAAAGAACTAGGTGACTTCACATTTCCTAAGCTGAATTTAGGTCTTTGCTTCCATGGTGAAAAGAGTTAATTGCAAAAGCCGTTTAAAGTATTGAATATGTTTAGTGGTGAGCTGAGCACAGAAAATTTGGAACACCTAAAACTGCCATTTTAAGTTATAAGGTAGTAAAGTAGATGCCTTTGACATTCCAGAAGTGAATACAATTTGTCAGGTAATCCAAGGTGCCATACTGTATGAAACAACTTACATATAACATTGATAAAATTATGGCTTTGGCCTGTAATCCCAGCACTTTGAGAAGCCAAGACGGGCAGATCACCTGAGGTCAGGAGTTCGAGACCAGCCTGGCCAACATGGCAAAACCCTGTCTCTACTAAAAATACAAAAATTAGCCAAGCGTGGTGGCAGGCACCTGTAATCCCAGCTGCTTAGGAGGCTGAGACAGGAGAATCGCTTGAACCCAGGAGGTGGAGGTTACAGTGAGCTGAGGTTACACCACTACGCTCCAGCCTAGGCAACAGAGTGAGACTCCATCTCAGAAAAAAAAAAAAAATGTGTGTGTGTATGTGTATATATGTGTGTGTGTATATATATATATATATATATATATGACTTTTAAAAGCACCACATCTTTAATAATTACTTTGGGAAGAATTGTTAATTATATATGGCTTCTTTAGTCTCTTAATTCCTTAGGCCAGTGAATTGTACCCAGCCTTAGCTAGATTTTAACTGTGTGTGGTTTGAACATTTTTGAGTCATTGTTTTACAGCAATGTAGTTCATTTACTCTACTCTGCTTTTTTATACAAATTGTTTTCTTGAAGACTTAATGGTAGTTTTGGTCTTTTTTATATTCTTTAGGATGCACAGACAATTAGAACATTAACTCTCATCTCAAAAACTATACAAACTTTGGGAAGCTGGGGGAGTCTGTCCAAAAGCAAGGTAAGTCCTTACATCTTTTATTTTGTTTTTACACTTCTAAATGTTGTTACGTCCTATGATCCTTTCTCCTTGACTTACCTTCTTCCAAATTAAAAACTATACATATATATATATACACACACACACACACACAGACACAGTAGCTGTCTTTTAAGTAGATACTCTCTTAGTCACCTGTTAAAGAGGACAGTTTCAGAAGCTGGGCATGGTGACTTGTGTCTTTAATTCCAGGAAGCTGAAGCGGGAAACTCACTTGAGGCCAGGAGTTCAAGGCTGCAGTGCACAATGATGGCACCTGTGAATAGCCATTGCACTCCAGTCCCAGCAACTTAGCAAGACCCTGTCTCTAGAAAATAAAAAAAAATTTTTTTTAATAGTTTAATGAGAACATTAAAAAAAAAAAATGCAGTTTCATGAACACTGCTAAATAAGGCAAAGAGAGCCTAGTAAGGAACTGCAGGACAGTCTGCCTGCCTGCCTGCTTGTGCCATAATCGCATGACAGCTTTGAAAGAAGTCTTCCACTCCAAGCCCTGAATTCTGAAAATATATAATTGAGTCCTTTTAGGCCTTAATCCTCAGCTTAAAAATGCAGTCCATTCTATTCTTAATTCTCTAACACATATAAACCCTGTGTTTGTTTTTTCTTAGTCAAGTTTCAAAGAGACATTCATGTGTGAATTTTTCAAAATGTTTCAAGAAGAAGGATATATTATGGCAGTTAAAAAGGTATGATTATTTTATTCTGGAATTAATATTTATTTCGTATAGCATAGGGGAAATAACATTTTATATATATTATATCAATCCCCAGTTTAAATAATAATGTTTAAACTGTTCATCAAAAAGGCTTCCTTTTTCTTTTTTCTTCTTATACAGGGCTGTGCTTTTCAGCTTTGAAAATACCTAAATAAGTTTAACAACTACTACTTTTGCCAGTGCCTTAGAAACACAAATTACAGATGTCTAGGGTTAGAATTTCTCAAAGTGACACTATTGGCATTTGGGGCCAGATAATTCTTGATTCTGAGGAGCTGGCTTGTGCGTTTCAGGATATTTAGCAGCATCCCTGGCCTCTACCCCTTAGATGCAATAAGTATGCCTCCTGTTTTGACAGCCAAACATGCCTCCAGGTATTGCCAAATGTTCTTTGAGGGACAGAATTGCCTCTGGTTGAGAACCTCTGGTCTCTGGGGGTAAAGGCTTTGTATGGTGCCCGATGTAGAGTGGGCACTTAATTGCCCTAGTAAAAAATATATACATTATTGAACATTTAATGAACAATATAAATTCATGGTAGTAACCTGAGGAAAGTTACTATAAATGTACAAAAGCCTATAGTATATAATATCCGAACACAAGTCCTGCAGCATACAAAAATCACTTCATTTAAAAGTTGAGAATGTTTTGAAAGGATCTTTAATTTCTTGAGTCTTTAGTCCTGAATCGTCTGAACAAAATATAGCATTATTGTAAAATGCTGAAAATTTATAAAGAAAAGTTAACCTTTGAAGTACTGTATCCCATATAGTCTAGAAGTTAAAAATTAAAAAATAAGGAGAGAAATGAATTATATCTAAACTGGGCCTGAAGAAAGTACTGTATTTTATGTATCACACTCTTAACTTAATGAATCCAAATTAACAAAGCCAAATGTTAAAGACTTCATTCAGTTTCTGTAGCATAACTAGCAGTTGGTTGCGAGAGTATTTATTTTGTTGAGGCATACATTTGGGCCTTTCTTTATACTTAGGGTTCTTACAGAGACTTAATAAGTGAAAAATGATGATTTTAAAAAGTCCATTGGAGTGTTTTTCATCTAGAATAGTGCCTGTTTAACCAAAAATTTTTAGACCAACCATTGAAGGCTTTTGAGGAGAAAGTCTTTCAAAAGAATAGGCAAAGAAAAAGCTGCCCTTTTATTTTTAGGACATTGTTGAAACATTTGTGACACTGTAGGCAGACTTTTATTGGCAAGATTATGATGTACTGTCTTTTGTTTGAGGGTTGTTTTTCCATGTTTTGTGACCAAGGCTATGGTAGTATCTGATTTTTTTTTCCCCTGATATAATCAGAATATGTAGAGTTGATAATGTCAGTGGAGAAAGGATTTAAGGGTACCAGGAGTTTAGTCTGTTCCTGAGCTGCCCTGAGTCACCCACTCACATTCTAATGGACTATCGCCACAGTATGCCTCTGTCTCAGATTTGGTTCTAAATCCCTCAGCTGACATAGGATACTTCGCCCTAATATCCTAGTTTCCTTTATTATTTAGTAGTTACAACAAGATATGTGCAGTGCTATAAATTGTAAAAGCTTGTGAAGCTCAATTTCTCATATTGGCACTCTGACTAGTGACATTTACTATTGATGCAGAAGAAAATAAGAGTATAACTCTGAATCATATGCTATTCCCTGCAGTTTAGAAAGGATAACCTGGATAGTTCTATGAACAAGGTGACCATATAATTTGATGTCTAAACCAGAACACTTTTAAGAGTGAAAAATACTGTTAGTGATTATTCTGGGATTATAGGAATGGCCCTGATGGGGATGGTCCTGAGCAAACTGGGACCTATAGTCACCCTGCCTATAGTCCATCTTTAATTACTGGGGTTTCTTTCACTTCATATCTCTGTATTTACCCCATAGTTCCTAAATAAAGTATTGGCTGGGCACAGTGGCTCACACCTGTAATCCTAGCATTTTGGGAGGCCAAAGTGGGCGGATCACCTGAGGTCGGGAGTTGGAGACCAGCCTGGCTAACGTGGTGAAACCCCGTTTCTACTAAAAATACAAAAAATTAGCCAGGCCTGGTGGCACACGCCTGTAATCCCAGCTACTAGGGAGGCTAAGGCAGGAGAATTGCTTGAATCCGGGAGGTAGAGGTTGCAATGAGCCGAGATCATGCCATTGCACTCCAGCGTGGGCAACAAGAGCGAAACGCTGTCTCAAAAAAATAAAATAAACTATTATAAATAATATTTGCTAACAAATCAGTGACTTCAGGTATATATTAAGAAATAAAATATTCACATAACTTAGACTCCATTAGTGGATGGTCCATCTGGGAGAACTGATGCTATGGTAGGGTGCTTCTTCAGTTCTCTTGGATACTTGTACCCACATTACCCATATATAATGCAAAAGGAACTCTGTTCTTGTTCTTTCACTTACCAATATTTTCTCCCAGCAAGCAGAAGTAAACATTCCATTTGAAAACTCCTTAAGTCTGAGCTCTGGTGGGCAATCATCAGCCAGTCTTAGGAGAAAATGACTGTGTCTCCAAATTCTACTTGAGAATAGGCACTGGAGCCTCAATATTATCCTTATTGGAATGTGGTTTGTTTTGTTTAAGTCCTAAGCAGAACAACGTAGAAAAGTATAAAGGAAAAAGCAAAGAAATGCAAACCCTTTCTGAGTTTCTGAGTTTGTAATACCCACCTAATGAACTAAACAAATTGATAGCTCATTTAGGAGGCAAAATAGGATTCTTTAAGAACAAGAATTGTTCCTCAAAATCAAGGTAATGGTAGATTAAAAAAAAAAAAAGAAAAAGAAAAGAATTGTTCCATCCAGGCATGCATGGTGGTTCACGCCTGTAATCCCAGCACTTTGGGAGGTAGAGGCAGGCAGATCACAAGGTCAGGAGTTTGAGACCAGCCTGGCCAATATGGTAAAACCCTGTCTGTACTAAAAATACAAAAATTAGCCAGGCATGGTGGTGGGCGCCTGTAGTCCCAGTTACCCGGGAGGCTGAGGCAGGAGAATCGCTTGAACCTGAGAGGTGGAGGTTGCAGTGAGCCAAGATCACACCATTGCATTCCTGCCTGGGTGACGGAACAAGACTCCATCTCAAAAAAAAGAAAAGAAAAGAAAAAGGAATTGTTCCTTGAAGTGCTAATTTCCCTTTCCCATGAAGAGACAACCAAATACTAAAAAGCCTTTAACCAATCAAGGTAGCATATTTGTGAAGTTAAATGTTCTTCACTGGCTGACCTGGTAAAGATGGATACTATAAATTTTCTTGAGTCACCACATTCCCACATTCTCCATGGAAAGTTTATAAATGGTGATTAGATTTCCAGATTATCCCAGATAACCTGTTTACACTTCAGTCATGACTGTGAAATACCATCTTTCAGAGTTAAAATCAGTTATATATAGTAGAAGTTGGCAAACTTTTCTGTAAAGGGACAGTGAGAAAATATTTTAGGCTTTGCTGATCACATAAGGTCTCTGCCACTTAGTCTTTGTTTTCACAAGGCTTTCACAATCCTAAATGTAACCCTAATTGTTACATTTAGAAATGTAATAGTTACAGGTTGAGTATCCTCTATCAAAAATGCTTGATAAAGTGTTTTGGATTTTGGATTTTTTCAAATTTTGAAATACTTTTATTCATTCTGTCTCTCTCCATGTATATTTTTTTAACTGGTTGAGCATCCCTAATCTGAAAATCCAAAATTCAAAATCCAGAATGCACCAGCAAGCATTTCCTTTGAATATCCTGTTGGCACTCAAAAAGTTTTGGGTGTTTGGAACATTTGGGATTTTCAGATTAGGAGTGTTCGACCTGTATTCTTATGGGCCTTACAAAAACAGGCTACAGGTCAGACGTGGCCCTCTGAGCCATACTTTGGTGATCCTTAACCTATAAGAAAGGGTCACAATCTTATATGTAAAATCATTGGGACCAAAAGTATTTCAGAATTCAGTTTTTCAGAGTTTCAAAAGGTAATCAGTATATACTATATGTAACACCTGCCAGTGGAGCCTCGGGTAGCACCCCACAATCAAATACATTAATTCTTATAGCACAGTGTGTGAATACTTACAGTAAGTAATATAAGCACAGAGTGTAAATAGCCTTACACCAGTTCAGGTTAAGTTATACCCCTAAATGAGTACTTCGAATCAAAGACAAGATTTTAAAACTTTGTATTCAGAACTTTATGTATTTCAGAATTGCAGTTAAGGAATTATGGATTGAATTATTTCTACATGGAAATATGTTCTGGGTTTTAAGTAACTTAAGAACGAAGTTTTAGGCTGGGCACGGTGGCTCACACCTGTAATCCCAGCACTTTGGTAGGCTGAGGCAGACAGATCACTTGAGGCCAGGAGTTCAAGACCAGCCTGGCCAACATACTGTAACCCTGTCTCTACTACAAATACAAAATAATTAGCTGGGTGTGGTGGCACATGCCTGTAATCCCAGCTACTTGGGAGACTGAGGCATGAGAATCACTTGAACCCAGGAGGGAGAGGTTGCAGTGAGCCGAGACTGCACCACTGCACTTCAGTCTGGGCAACAGAGACTCTGTCTCCAAATAAATAAATAAGACTTTTATAATACTTGTCATTTGTAAATTAGGGATTTCCTTTATAATATGTGTTTTGTTTTATAAATTACTATCATGTGTATTCATTAGTAATGAAGAACTTCCCATTATAATCAATGACATGTAAGATAAACTAAATTTTTTATAATGTTCCTTATCACACAGTGTAATATTTCCCCATTTCCCCATTTAGTTCTTGGATGAAATTTCATCTACTGAAACTAAAGAGTCCAGTGGTACGAGTGAGCCTGTGCACCTGAAAGAAGGGTAATTTAATCAAATTAGACGTGAAAGTCATGTATCAGTATAGATATTAAGTAAGTACAAAGAGCGTGGGTCTAAGAGTGAGGAGATCTGGCATTATGTTCTGTGTTAGAACTGCCAAAATTAGCAATCAGGTAAGTCACCTTTACTGTCCTACAAACTTTATGGCAGAAAAGCATGATTTCCTGTGCATACAGTCCTAGAGTTGTTTTGCAATTATAGTGAGATGATGGGTATTTAGAGTACTTTAAAAAAGTAACAGCACTATTTGTCTTAATGTACAGTGTTCATTATAAGTTAAGCAGGGGAATCACTCATTTGGTCCTTTTTTGTTCTGCATAGTAGAATTAAAAATATTAAATTAATTGAAGACCTTAATCCTTTAGTATGGCCAAAATAAATGCAACAGTCATGGATGGCAAAAACATTTCTATATATTTAATATAATCTTACACAACTATTCATGTCATTTAAAATTAAAGGATACTTCTTTGTTTTGGATTAACTTTTAATTTTTGTAGCTAAATGTTTACATCTGTTATGTTGGCAGTGAGATGTATAAAAGAGCTCAGGGAAGAACTCGGATTGGAAAAAAGAATTTTAAGAAACGATGGTTCTGCTTAACAAGCAGAGAGCTCACCTACCACAAACAGCCAGGTAGTTGTGTTTATGCTTTATTATGGGGTTTTTCCTGGTTCTCGGTGTAGGTTTCTTTGCCGCTTATTGTGACTCTAGTGAATCCTTTTAGTAATATTACTATAGTTTGTGGTTTCTCCATACGTACTAAGAATGAAAAAATATTTGACAGTAACCGCATGTATATTATGTTTTTCTCACATTAAATTTCTTGAGTTTCTGAAAATGGTATTCCTTTAGTGTACTCTGTTTTCTAAAAATCCATAGTATTCCATACTGTTATTTATCAAAGAGCCACACTAAACCTCTTAGAACATGGGAGTTTCTTTAACTCTCAGAGGCAAAATTAGCAAGATTCAATATCTAATAAATGAGAATATTTCTGTGCTTCGTTGGAAAATATCAGCTAGACATTCCCACAGTTACACCATAGATTGTGATACCTATTCTGTTGTCAAATTCATCCTAGGCTCTTAGCCAAGCTAACCCCAAGGTAGATGACTTAATAATTTGCCTTCTGAGAAGACTTTGTTGCCTGTACAAGTGGGCTATTTGTGTAAATGAAGCCATCTTCCTACAGTGTGATTTGAGAGCTGCAGAGAGGCAAAGCTTATCCCTCAGTAGACTGACACAGTCCTTTAAATAAACTGCTTTTGAGTTTATTCCATTGGGGTGATTTTCCACAGAAGGCCAGGTGTGGTGGTTCATGCCTGTAATCCTAGCACTTTGGGAGGCAAAGGCGGGCAGATCACTTGAGGTCAGGAGTTTGAGACCAGCCTGACCAACATGGCAAAATCCAAAAAAAAATTAGCCGGGCATGGTGTCACATGCCTGTAGTCCCAGCTACTCTGGAGGCTGAAGCAGGAGAATCGCTTGAACCCGGGAGGCAGAGGCTGCAGTAAGCCGAGATCGTGCCATTGCACTCTAGCCTGGGTGACAGAGCAAGACTTCATCTCAAAAAAAAAAAAAAGGAATTATCCACAGAAGGCCATTAGCTTCTGATATTTTAGCAAGAAGAATTTAGTATCTAGATCTCAGATCACATCTATATAGTAGAATCCCTTCTGTCCAAAATAATCAGGATCCAGAGATGTTCATTTAACCAAACCAAAAGGTTGGTTAAAGCGAGAATCATTTAAAAATAAACAAAAAGATGCATACAGATCTTAAATATTTATGTATTTGTTTACCAGCATTTTGGTAGAGAACCATGATTATTTCTTTGACTATTCACCTATAGATCAGATTTCCTGTCTTTCTTGTGTAAATATACCCATAATGCATCAGTTTTCAGGTTGATTTCTCCAAGGTAAATCTAGAACTTAGATACTTGAAAAGTAATCCAAGGACAAAATCCTCTTAGATTTTCAGGATAGTTACACTAGTCTTTTACAGCTGTCTTACCCCCACATAAATCAGCCTTATTTGTGGAGGTATGCATCTCCTTTTTAGAGGGTTTTCAAAGCATTTACCTGATTTTCAAATAAGTAATAAACCTTTTTGTAGTGGCCACTTACTTTGTCTCTTTATGTGAAGTAAATCATAATTACAACATAGAAAACTAGCATAAATAAGTTTAGCAACAAACCCAACAGACTTGGTAAGCAAAACAGCCTAACCGATGGAAGTAGAAGGGCGCAGGCTTAACAGAGTACCCAAGCAACCACAAGCGTTTAGCATCCCATGAGCAGCATTCAGTATGTTTTACAGAGGAAATGGAGAGTCTGTTAATCTGTCAAATGTTAGGTAAAGATCTGTTAAGAGAGCTTCTGCTGTAAATTCTGGAGTAATACATCAGATACAGGGTGCTTTAAAGAGGATATAATACAGTTAAGTAGAGTGCTTCAGTGGAGACTCTTGAATAGTAGAGTGATAAGGAAAAAATTTTATTTCATAATTCTTCCTTAGGAATGGCTTAGCCAGAATGACTACATGTGTCCCAATATATTAGAAAGATATAAGAAACCAAATGCATTATACTTTTGGGTATATTACCCAGATAATTTGTTATAACATTTACATATTCAAATAACTAAAAGTCAATAGGCTACATATATGCCCTTTCAGATAGCTGCTTTTTTTTTTTTTGGAGACAGAGTCTCACTCTGTTACCCAGGCTGGAGGGCAGTGGCATGATCTTGGCTCACTGCAACCTCTGCCTCTCAGATTCAAGTGATTCTCCTGCCTCAGCCTCCTGAGTAGCTGGGATTACAGGTGCCTGCCACCACACCCAGCGAATTTTTGTATTTTTAGTAGAGACAGGGTTTCACCATGTTGGCCAGGCTGGTCTTGGACTCCTGACCTCGTGACCTGCCTGCCTCAGCCTCCTAAAGTGCTGAGATTACAGGTGTGAGCCAGCGTGCCCAGCCCAGATAGCATTTTTTAAGCTAAGCATATTCTGAATGTTTTAGAAATTATAACTTATTGAATACTATATAAATGTTCTCACCTATGCATAGCAATGGGTGCTAATTATGTTTACATTAATGGTACATTTAAATAAGAGTTAAGGTAAATTAGTCATTCTCTATGAATAAATGAGTTCTTTTTTCCTCATTTAAAGCATTTTCTAATCTAAACCAATATTCTGAAGTATTTTTTGGTTTATAATCTTCTTTAAGAATTAGATAGCTATGGACCCCTTTGTCTAGAAAACTGTACCTACAAACAGACAAAAAATTGTGCATGTAACTTCAGGGAGTTCATAGACACAAAATTTTGCATAATAATTTCAGGGAGTTCATAGACCTAAAGTTCATCTATGATTCTCAAGTTAAGAACCTCTGTTCTTGCCGGGTGCAGTGGCTCGCGCCTGTGATCCCAACACTTTGAGAGGCTGAAGCAGGTGGATCATGAGGTCAGGAGATCAAGACCATCCTGGCCAACGTGGCGAAACCCCATCTCTACTAAAAAAACAAAAATTAGCCAGATGTGGTGGTGTGCGTCTGTAGTCCCAGCTACTTGGGAGGCTGAGGCAGGAGAATTGCTTGAACCTGAGAGGTGGTGGCTGCAGTTAGCCAAGATCATGCCACTGCACTCCAGCCTGGGTGACAGAGGGAGACTGTCTCCAAAAACAAAAAAGAATCTCTGTTCTGTCCACTGATTTTAAGAGAACAAAATTCTCTAGAATGTTGAGGCTACTAGAGGTATAAAATAGACACATTAGAAGCTACATTGTTTTTAAGCCTTAAGAAATTTAAAATTTTGGAATGATATTGGAGGAATGAGATATGAAATTTCAAGCTTATTTACCAAAGCCTGTGGTTTTAAGCTTCCATGCTTTTTGTTTTAACTATTTTGATGGATCTTTCCAAAATATATTACATGCTTCCCTGCCTTCTAAAAAAGAGTTCATTGAACGTAAGTTAACATCTTCTAGATGACTTGGGGCTACCATTGATAATATTAATTGTTATATGGATTCTGATTTAGTGATATTTTCAGGGCTGCTTAAGGGTGTGTGCAGCTGTTTACTCCAGCTAAATGCATTTACTCCGCAGCTAAATGCCTTGGACTGCCGTGCTTTTTGTGTTCCTGTGTTCGCTTTATACAGTTTTTCTCTATCCTTTGTGGTAAGGCTGCGATCTTACATTTCTTGTGATGTCTGTGAACCATAATATAACACCTTACTCCCATCCCATCACCCACCTCTGTTTTTTACAGCAATGTACTATGAGTGAGGATGCAAGTGCTATGTTTGTTTAAATTATACCTAAGATTAAAAGGCTTTGAATGAAAACATCAGGACTTTCTCCTATAAATAAAATACCTGGGCTTTGTATTCTCTGGTTGTTGAGCAAATGTTTTGCTTACTTCCAGTTTCCCTGCTGTTTTCTAGATAGCCAGGACTGCTAGTTAAGTAGTCTTTTGCTACACTTACTATGTGACTTTGGTGTCTGAAAGAATACCTCCCAAATTTCCTGTAACATAGACTTAAATCATTGAGTCTTTCACTGTGTCTTCCTATTATACAGTAGTAGTGTGAATTAAGTATTTCTCTCCATTAGTGTCAAATAATACGGTCTTTTCACACTTTACTGGAAAATGAATTAGTAGAATTTTCTCTGTTTTAAGGATTTTTCTTCAATAAGTTGTTAAATTTTTGAGGCCCCTTTAGGCAAGTGCTAACAGGCAATAGTAAGCAACTAATCAGTAGAGTTAAACTAACATGTAGCAAATGAATATTATCAGACACTCAGCCATCAGTCGTGATTACCTTGAGAGATTTTTATGGCCTTGTGTACTTATGATTATGATTTTATACTCCTTTCTATAATTTAGTCATCTTCTACAAGTAAAAGTTCTCTTAGTTATATGTGGAGATCAGACTAGTTATTGATGTTCCAGCCTCTTTATGTCTCATTCAGCCTCCTCTTTTGCAGTATCTGTATGTAGTTTCACCAGACTACTTTTTGCAGTTCCTTCTTTACATCTTTTACATGTTCTTTTGCATTCATGCTTTTGCATATGTACCTAAAAATATCTACCAAAAAATTCCTTTATTTTCTTCTTTACCTGTGTAATCTGTTGTCCTTTAAGTCTTAGATCAAGTGTCAGCTCTTTATGGAAGCCATTGTAAGCCTCATCTACCTCAGTGTTGCTATTCCCTTACTGTCTATCTTTAGCCACATGGCATACTGTGTATGTAAGAAGTAATGACTTTTTTCCATCTCTTCCCCTAGTCTTTAAGATCCTCAGTGGTAAGGACCCATATTATTACTAGTGGCATAAAGGTATATAGTAAGTATTCTTCAAAGGACACCATGTCTTCCATATATGCTGTCATCTGAATTACATTAAGAACCACTTGTCTTTCTAAAATTTCTGCCAGGCGTACTAACTCATCTTTGAAATTCTGTTCTGTAAAATTTAATTAGATACTGTCTTCTTTGGGGAGACCTGTTATACACATATACATACACACAACTTTCATGTGACATTAAATGCCCTAGCTTATATAGCCAGCCCTACCCTAGCTCGTATAACCAATGGACATTGTAAAAGAAATGTCCATGATATTTTAAACATAAGTGCTTAAAACACTGAGGTTAACATGGTTTTCATCTG